CACTGACCAGTTCTTAAATCTCAACCGAATTATCCTCAGTTGAATTACAGATAAGGTTCTAAATCTCGACAAAGTTTCCTCCGTCGAAGTACAGACAGTTCTTAAATCTCAATAGAATTATCCTCCGTTGAATTACAGACAAGTCCTAAATCTCGATGAAGATGTTTCCCCCCCAGTTGAATTACGGACAAGTTCTTAAAACTCAGCAGAGATGTTCTCTCAGCTGAAGTACAAGCAAGTTCCTAAATCTCAACAAAGATCAGACTCCCCCAAGCGAAATCTTCCACAACAACAGGTATGTAAGTTATCGCTAAGGAATCTCTTATGCGATCGACACTCCTTCAGATGGAATCTGTAAGCCCATCCTCTTGCCAGCAATCTCCAAATGGCATCTGTAAGCCCATTCTCGACATCACAAGGCTGATACCACTTCATGCGAGTGCAAATTTCTGGGCACTCTAGTGTTCAATCATCTTCCACCTTTGGATCACGAAAGGCACGAAAGCCAATCTACATCCTCAGGTTTAATAAGATTGAACAGGGGCAGCTGTTGTACCCCAAAATTTGCCCTCTCATATTTCCCAAAACATTGCAAGAAAAATATCCAAGTTGCTCAAGTTTGCTCAAGGGTTGGTAAGACAAGCTATCTCCTAAGGTAGTCAACCCCAAATTAGGTTTTTGTGTTGTATCAATATCCTTGAGTCCAAATGACCTCAAGTTCTCCCTAATGTCCTAATATTCTCTCAAGACCATCCATGTCAAATTTCAAGCCTTGCAGAGAAAGTTTGCTCAATCAATTGCTCAAAGGTCCAAAAATCGACTATACTAGGGCAAAAGTCAACTGTGACCTACAAACAGTCAAACTTCAAGTTTTTTTCCCAACATTCTCATTTTGAAGTTTATTTCATCATTTGATCAAGGGTTGATCATGATTCATCAAGGATTACTCAAAATTCATCAAGACTCAAAAGTTGCTAAATTAGGGTTTTGCAGGAAAAGTCAACTCAACTTTGACCAAGCATAACTTTCACATACTTTATGAGAAATGACCCATCCAAAGCTCATTTTGAATAGGATGCAATTTCCAACAATCCAGATTCATACCCCAAGATCAAAAAATGCACTCACAATAAGTTATGAATTTGGACATTATAGGTCATTTTTGAAAGTCAACAAAAACACCTTTTTTTTCCAAAGCTTATAACTTGAGCATGGAACATCAAAATGCGTTGAGACCAAAAGGGTTGGTTAGAGGACATCTCAAGATTTCTAAAAAGTCAAAGGACACTTCCAAAAGTTCAAAATTGAAGAAGTTATGCATTGTTGAAGTTGGACTTTTTTGCAAAATTGCCAAAAGTCAACTATCCCCAAAACTTCAAATTTTGCCAAATGGGCCCATTATTTTCCACTTGATTTGAGTTTTCATAGTTGCCCACGTGCTCTAGCTTCAACCATGTGCCCATATTTCATTTTTATTATTTAATTTGATTTTTAATTGAATTTATTCATTTTAAATCAAATAAAATCATATAAAATCCAAGGCATTGATAATTCATGAATCTTTGGTTGCTTTAGGCTTTGAATACAGCTCTTATGTGAATCAAATTCTAATCAAGGCTTTGTATACACAAAAAGATCCAAATCAAATCAAATTTGGAAGGTTTTAAATGGAGATCAAATCACATTCATGTGCATTGATATGGAGAGATTTGGTCAATGTTTTTTACCCTAATGCAATACACATTACATAAGCAAGTAAGAGAACACGAAATAAGGGTTGGAAACTGTGGAGAGAGGCAGAACCAAAGTGCAAAAATTCACAAAAAAGTGAGAGATCAAAATCCAGGTTAGAGGCGTTTTCAAGGATCAAGACTTATTCCAATCGCTTCTTGGGCATTCACAAAAGCCATCCCAACCAAAACCAAGCATTTTCAGACTCCCAAACGCACTGTAAGTCTCACGTAACACAGCTCTGTACTCGATTTCGATTTGAAGCATTATGGCATCCATTGAACAAACTAATGGTACATTCGTGATCACAAGAACATGTCCAAACTTTTTGCATTGTTTAATTTCATTTATGTGCTCTGTATGAAGAAACACCATTGCTAGGGTTTGGCTCGTGGTTTTGGGGATTTTTGTTTTAGGAATAATTGGTCCACGTAAAGGGCATGGTTGCAATCAGGAGGAGACGACGAGTTCAACCATGCTCGTAGAATGTGTTTTCATAGCCTGGGGAGAATTTTAGAATAAGGCTGCATTTTTAGCTGCGGATTCAAATCCGCAGGTATTTTTTTACAGGTTTGAGGACAGGGATGAGTTCGTGTCATCCATCCATTGGTGGATTCAAATACCGCGCGCGCTTTTTTTTTGACTTTCTGGCCATTGACTTGTTTTTATATAATATATATTCTTTGCATTATGTTAACAACTAAAGCAATATGGTGTAGTGGCAAAGCGAGCAGTGCATTTCCCTCAGGACCTGGGTTCGAATCCCAGGTCCCCCACTTTCTCAATAACTTTTATTTTCAAGTATTCCCATGCGCGCTCAAATCTGCAGCCTACCATGTTCCCTCATCCATTCAAATGCCAGATGGCCAAGAGCCAGATCTGGCGGTCAAAAGCTGGAGGTCCACCATGAGCCAAGTCAACATGCACATACTGGATCAGAAAAGTCCAAATGGGCCAGCAAAGAATTTGCTCCTCACACCCCTATAGCAGGCCCAATACTCCTCTCTCTTGATTTATTTTGTCTTGATTAATTGTTTATTTCATTTATTTAATTTCCTAACCAATCAAAATTCTTTTTTCTCATAAAATAAAATCACAAAAAAAATACTTTTTATTCAATCAAATTTTAAATCTTTAGTTTTCTTAATAAACTTATTAATTAATTAGGTTTTTTTTTAGTTAACTTTAATTCATTTTTTGCAAATATTTAAAATTAATTAGACTTAATTAGGTATTAACCACTAATTTAATTAATTTTATTTTCTTTCCTAAATAATCAAAAACTCCAAAAATAATTTACTTTTCATTTAATTAATTTATTAATTTAATTTGGTCATTTAATTTAGGTTTAATTTCTTTCTTAATTAAAAAACAAAACAAAAAACAAAAAGCAATTTTCTTTCAAAAAGGGTCAAAACACTAAAATTCGCACTCGATCTAATTTCCCACGCGCGTTATTTATTTTTATCCAATAATGTACCTGCTTCCGGAATGTAACAGATAATTAGGATATTTTTAATTATTTTTACCGCTTTACTTTATTTTTCAAAGGGTTTGTCTTTGGCGATGTAAATACCCAACGCCTTGTAATTTAAATTTCGTATTTTAAATTCCGCAAATTATAACCGTTAGATGTTTGATCATAGGGTTTGCATGATAAGACTGAATGCTTAATCTTAAAATCAAATTAGATCACCCGTAACATGTGCAAAGATAAAAAATAAACTGAAAGTGACACACTCGCACATGCGCACTCTTAGGGTACACCCCACTTGGTTGCCTTCGTACGTGATCATTGAGTATAGGTCGTTTTTGAGGTCACCCTCTTGTCTAAAAGATCATAGTCACCTCGAAATGGTTGCCTCAGATATTGTTGCCTCAAACAAATGATCTAAGACATTAGGGTTACCGCTAAGGCGTTCTAACATTACTTTGGTGACTGTAAGTCCCTCATTCGAATTGACCCTTAAACTCCAACGACGATGCTACCTACTCATTAATAGTGGGATAGCATCATCTAAAGGACATTAGCATAGAACGATTCCTTTTTCGAGTAGGTAGATGGTTCTTAGATACTTGCTCTTTCAAAACAAAACAAACTTTTACACATACACTCCTTTTCGAACAAAGTTTTCAAAAACACTTCATACGCTCTTGAGGACAGAAACAAGAGTTAAATCGAAGTTTTCAAACAAATTTTTTTTCAAACCCACAAGCACAAAGAAAGAAATTTTTGAAAACAAATGAGCAAGTACCTAAGAGCCTGTGGATAACCACGGATAGAAAGGGTGCTAACACCTTCCCTTTCTATAATCTACCCCCCGAACCCGAGAAATATCTTGAAAAAGGAATTTTTCTGTGCTTTTTTCCTTTCCTTGTTGGATAAAATAAAAGTCGGTGGCGACTCTTGCTTACCGCGACATTTTGCAAAAACAAACGCAAAACACAAACCAGCATTCCAAAAAACAGTCAGTTCTTCCCACCGTATCACAGTCGCTATATGTAGAGACCCAAGCTATAATTGAGGAATTGTAGGTGGTGTGTGAATTTCCTAAAGTTTTCCCTGATGAGATTCCTGATGTACTGCCAGAGAGGGAAGTTGAATTTTTAATTGATCTTGTACCTGGTACCAGACCTGTGTCTATGGCACCATACAGGATGTCTGCATCTGAATTGTCTGAGTTGAAGAAGCAGTTGGAAGAGTTACTTGAGAAGAAGTTTATAAGACCAAGTGTATCGCCGTGGGGAGCTCCAGTGTTGTTAGTGAAGAAGAAAGATGGAAGTATGAGGCTTTGTGTTGATTATAGACAATTGAACAAAGTGGCGATCACTACGCCAAATAAGCTATTTAATAGCGCTTTTTTTTTGTTTTTGATAGCGCTTAAAAGTGCTATTAACCGCGCCACTATTGTAAATATTTCTTATTTAATAGCACTTTAAAAGCGCTATTAAAGTACCAATTTATAATAGCGTTTTAATTAAAGTGCTATCAAAGTCAGTATTTTGCATGTTTTTTGTTTGTTTTTTTATAGCACTCTAAACAAAAAGCGCTAATATATAACATATGTTTGATAGCGCTTTCAAATAAAGTGCTAATAAATGGTACATATTTGGTACAATATTTTTAATAAGTACAGTACAATATTTTTTCTTACACAATCATTTTTTTTTGGTGTAAATATAAAATAACTATATTCAATTCAACACAAATAACGCTTTAAGTTACTCATTGCATATATATTATGATCCATCAAATACCAAATAACATTTTAATTACCAAATCCTATTGTTTCCAAATATCATAACATATAGAATATTAAGAGGGCGTTTGCATAGCCAAATTTGTAGATGCCCATCTATGAGTACTTCAATCCAAATCCAAAAACATACAATCAAATTCTCTAAACAAAACACCAAAAAACCTTTATCACTAGGTAGTCGACTCTCAGCTACTTTTTCTGGTTGTTTCCTTTCTACCACTTGTTCAAGGTGTTGCCTCTGTGCCACTTTTTCAGGTTGTTGCAACCTCTCTGACACTTGTTTAGGTTGTTGCCTTTCTTCCACTTCTTCAGTTTTTTGCCTCTCTAGCTTCTCTCTATCCAACTTATCTCTCTCAATCTTTTCTCTCTCTAGCACCTCCAATCTACTTTTGAGTGAATTACAAAAGCCATACAATTTTTCAAAATCCATTTGTGTGGGGCGATTTTGGCGTGGTAATATGTCCCTAGAACATACCCCAAAACCATAAGTCCTAACACGTCCAGAGTAGTTTGGGAGATTAAGAGCCTCAAATAATATGTTTGTGGGACCAAGGTCTTGTCTCTCTTCTTCAGATAGAGCTTCTGTTAACTTCTCCTGACATTGATAAGTATAAAAGAAATAACCAATAGTTAGATACAAGTTGCAATTAATGGCTATTCTATCAAAATAAGACACAAAGACTCAATTAATTAAGGAAAATCGAGTTTAATGACTTCAAACTAACTAACAAAATACAAATTCGGTAACAATGATGAGTATAGAAAAAGTGTCACATCTATAATGTGAGCATTTTGGAAATAACATCTATAGTGTCACATCTAAAATTCGACTTACACATTGATCCACAACTCTTTGAACATTCTCATTATCAATCACCCCGCTCTTATTGACGCGGGCAGCCTTCCACACTTGACTACGGTTTATCTCACCAACTTCTGACTCTTCTACCTGTATATACATTTTTACAAATTAACATAGCAATTAAATTTTTTTATAATATTGTATAGTACATTTATACACATACTTACCATATCAGCTTCAAGACGAGCACACCCTAAACGTGACTTTCTATAGGGATGTTGAGGATTTAACGCTCTTTCTCGATTCTCATCACTAACTTTCTGCATTTATTATAAAAAATGCATCCCACAACACTATCACTAATACTATAATCATGCAAAACTTTAAGGATCCATATCCAAGTGATAAAAGTATTACCTGAAACTTTGCAGTCATATGTGAAACTTCTCAGGGTCAATAACTTTGCTACAAATAGCTTTGAAGAAAAAACAAAGTTTAGTTATGTTGCTAGAGAGAAACCTGAGAGTGTTTATCATCAGCACTTAAATCTGCAAAAGATTCTTGATCACTGCCTCCTAAAGAAGAACATCTTCCCCAACTTTCTCTAGTCGAGCTTGTATATGAGCAACAATCTTCAATCTGGCCATTTAGCTTACCCTATAAAGTCATTCATAGTATTTTGTTCAAGTTAAGTAAAGGATAATTCCCGGACCATTTATTAATTTCAGAGACGGTTATATAAAGATGACCTGCACATTTGCGGCTTCATCATTTTTGTCTCTCGTATCTTCTTCAAACAAAGGCTCCTGCAGTACAAGCAATGGATAAACTAAACAGAACAAAGTTTTATGAAGAAAATAATGGAGACAGAGGGATAAGGCAACCTACTGCATCAGCCAGTGGAGCTGCTTCCGAAAGAAGTTCGGTAACTGAATTTGTTTCAGATATTGTTGGAAATGCAGAAGATGAACTTGCAGCATCAGTAGGTGTAGACCGTAGACTAGAGAGAATCTCATATAATACGCTCTAGCATGGAAAGAAAAAGAAAAAGAGCAAATTAGTTTATGTAGTGTCTTTTATATTTTTCAAGACAACGGAGTAGAAACGCTAAATACCTCATCCACACCGGAACCGAGTTTCAAATCCCCCAAATCATAATATTTCTCGAGCTTTTCAGCAATAGAAACTTGAGGAGGATGGAGGACATTGTAGAAGAAAATGGAAACTGAATCATAAAAGAATTGTGGCCGAGAAGAGTTGTGGTCGCCATCAAATTTTATGATATTTTTATCACCCTACGAATTCAGAAACAGAAGTTAGATATTTTGGCTATCAAAGAGAGAGAAAATGCAAACTGCTTATAATTGTAAAATTAATACCGCGTAGGATTCAGAGATGAGATCGGAGTGGTGTGGCTGAATGAATTTGTCATCACTTGCATGTCCAAATAAAACAGGAATGAATGTCTTCGGTGCAACCTGTAGGCTTTAAAAGCATTAATTTACGATAAAAATGGAGTCGAAAAGAAATGATGTCTCTAAAAGAAATTCGTTTAGCCAGAAAATAATGCTTAACAAAACATGATCAATGAAAGTTTACATAATTGCATTCATAATTTTTTTACTATTAAAAAGACAAACAATTAATACTTACCAGAACACAGTTCAGTTTCATGATATCAAACTTTGCCTTCTTCTCAATAACCCGCCGCATGTATTGTACAACCATTTTAACCTAATCAGGGAGAAAATGCAGTCAAATATCTTACTGCCATCTTGCTCCTCTTAGGATCTTTCCATGACACTTTTTCAGCTCTTAGTTAGAATACACCTTCCACACTCTTGGGCTGTGAGGTATGTTTTGGCCTACTAAACACTCGTGTGCTTCATTCACATTATGTGGGTTGCTATCAGATGCAACGTGATTCAAGCTGTGTATGTAATTTCAAAAGTTTAAATACTAATTTCTCACACATTTACAGATACTATTGATGATTTCTGACCTAGGTATGTGTGGTATGATAGTGGTACACAATACAGTGCTAATATTTAGATCTTTAATTCAAATGAAAAATAGAGAAATGGTAAGTAGTAAAGCAAGTGTCTCAATACCTTGAGGAAAGATGGAATGATCCGACATGAGAAGAGCAAAATCACATTGCTTATCAACCTGGGAAACATCAACTCGCGAAGCAGGACGCTGACTATCAACATTCTTCTCAACAGTCATTAGGAATTCTTTGGTCACTAGAATGTGAGACTAGAAAGTACCAAAATAGATGCAGGTCAGAGATCATAATACAAAACTTCCTCATGCAAAATCTTAACTGCTTTTTATTCGTGAAAATATGGCAATTCACAAAAGCCATTTTTATTAATAAAAAAATGGTGATGATAAAGATGGTTGGAAATTGGAATATGCGATACAAACAACAACTATTCCATTAATGGGTAGAGCCATCAATCTACCACAGGAAAAAGATGTGGCAGGAACAGTGCAATAGTGACTACATACCCCAGCATCAACATATTTGGATCCAAGCAAAGGCTTCATTACATGATCGACATATAGTTGACCAGCAATTTCCTTATCTGAAGAGGAAATAAGTTCATGTACTTTTTTCCATATGAGGCGTTCATGCAGAGACAGAGCTATGGTATTCCTCACTCCCGGTAATGCTGATGCCTTCCTTGGAGACTTGCGAATGCGCATCACTTTCCCAATCTAAGTAACATACATTTGGAAAAACAATTTAATTATTTGGATAAAAAGGCTTAGTTAAGTGCTTATAGCATAGAACCTTATCATATAATCTATTTCTATAACACGAGATAAAAGAAAGTCAAATTGTTTTCATATAACCTATATGCTTTTTTCATAAGCCACCATGAAGAGCATGAGAAAATAAGCTGAAAAAAACTTATGAACATGTCAAAACCCGAGTAGATAAACCCGGAAAATGCTTATACAAGTAGATAAACTCAAATAGGTGATAGTTTGGATTAGCGGTGACTTCAGCAAAATCCAAGTGGCACCATGGTTTTGTGAAGCTCCAAAGTGTAATTTTTTTAATCAAAATCACAATCATTGATCATGATTTTGTGAATCTTGTAGCCAATCCAAACATACACTAAGTCAATCCGAAGAAGCCCTAAGTGCCCACTCAATAAACTATTCTAGGAAAACACTTATCCAATAAGCTATTATGCAAATTCTATTGCAATAAGCTGAAAATATCACAAATGAATTTTCCAATCCAAATAGGAAACACAGACACAAGAGCTTAATGTCATAAGAAAAACTCAAATAAATTCTAAACACAATACAAATTGGCCTTAAACTATAAACATTAAATTAAGCAAAATTGAGTTACAAGAATAAACATACGTAAGAAGGAGAAGAACCAGTGTATGAGACAACAATATTAGCAGCACCTTCACCTCTGTAAACCCAATGAGCGGCATCTTGTTCGGTTAAAGTCAACTCCATCTGTTTTTTGAAATGAAAAACTCAGTTAGGCATTTCATCAAACAGTTTAACCACAAACTCACAACTGCAACTTAACCTCACAAACCCTCATTACAGCTACTCAAAATCACGAATAGGGTGTGAACATGGGAAACAAATTGAGCACCGTATGAGAGGTCGCCGGCACCGCCGAGAAGAGATTGTGTGGCGTTGCAGAAGGCTTCGTAGCTGTCGAGGATTTCGTGAAGTTCGTCTTGGGTGAGAGTGTCGAGAATACCTAGGTTGAACAGAGATGAATGTGAATCGTCCATTGCCATTATCGCGAGTGAGTGAAGTTGGTGATCGTTGGTGATGCCACGGTGCTACTCCTTCGCAATGGGTTTGGGTTTAGATATTGGGGTTTTGGTGCGGGGGAAAATGTGTTTTGTTTTTTTTTTTATCAATTAATTAATTAATTCATTATTATATAGAACATAGCGCTTTTTAATAAGTGCTATTATATAGGTAGTCAAATAATAGCGTTTTATACAAAATTCTATCTTAAAAAAGTTTAATAATAGCGTTCTGGTACAAAGTGCTATCAAAATTACATAGTCTGTATTATATAATAGCGCCCGATTAAAAAGTGCTATTATAAATGTGTTTTTTCCATTTTAATAGCATTTTTTTTAAAAGTGCTATTAAATTAGGTGATACAAAAAATCATTTTTGGCGTAGTGGATTAAGAACAAGTATCCGCTTCCAAGAATAGATGACTTGATGGACCAATTAGTGGATGCTCGTGTGTTTAGTAAGATTGATCTGAGGTAGGGTTACCATCAGATTAAAGTGAAGGATGAAGATATCCAGAAGACAACTTTCAGAATGCGTTATGGACATTATGAGTATTCAGTGATGCCTTTCGGTGTTACTAATGCGCCAGGAGTATTCATGGAATATATGAATCGTATCTTTCATACTTAATTGGATTGGTTCATATTGGTGTTCATTGATGATATTTTGATTTACTCTAAGTCAGAAGAAGAGCATGCTGAACATTTAAGAGTAGTATTACAAGTTTTGAAAGAGAAGAAGTTGTATGCAAAGTTGTCCAAGTATGAATTCTAGCTGAAATAGGTTAGTTTTCTTGGTCATGTGATTTCAGGTAGTGGCATTGTTGTAGATCCATCGAAGGTTGATGTTGTGTTGCAATGGGAAACTCCAAAGTCAGCTACTGAGATTAGAAGCTTCTTGGGATTAGTTGGTTATTATAGAAGGTTTATCGAAGGTTTTTCTAAGTTGTCACTCCCATTGACTAAGTTGACTTGTAAAGGTATAGATTTTGTGTGGGATGTTCAGTGTGAAGAAAGTTTTACAGAATTGAAGAAGAGGTTGACGTCGGCTCCGATTTTGACGTTGCCTAATCCAGGAGAGCCTTTTGTGGTGTATTGTGATGCTTCTAAGATGCGTTTAGGAGGTGTGCTTATGTATAATGGTAAGGTAGTTGCTTATGCGTCAAGGTAGTTGAGAACTCATAAGAAGAACTATCCTACGCATGATTTAGAGCTTGCTGCGGTTGTTTTTGCATTGAAGATTTGGAGGCATTATCTTTATGGTTCTAGATTTGAAGTGTTTACTGACCATAAGAGCTTGAAGTATTTATTCGACCAGAAAGAGCTAAATATGAGGCAACGAAGATGGTTGGAATTGTTAAAGGATAATGATTTCAGTTTGAATTATCATCCAGGAAAGGCGAATGTGGTAGCTGATGCATTGAGTCGAAAGACTTTACATATGTCAGCAATGATGATTAAAGAGTTGGAATTGATTGAGCAGTTCAGAGATATGAGCTTAGTTTGCGAGGTTACTCCGTAGAGTGTAATGTTGGGTATGTTGAAGATTAATAATGAATTTCTAGACAGTATCAGAGAAGCTCAAAAGTTGGATGTGAAACTGGTAGTTTTGATGGTGGGGATTGACCAGTCTGAGAATAATGATTTTAAGCTAGATACGAAAGGTGTGTTGAGATTTCGTAACCGGATTTGTATTCCTGATGATGCTGAGATGAAGAAAGAGATGCCTGAAGAGAGCCATAGAAGTAAGTTGAGTATTCATCCAGGAGCTACAAAGATGTATCAAGATTTTAAAAGTTTGTTTTGGTGGCCTGGGATGAAGAGTGACGTGGCTCGATTTGTGTATGCATGTTTGACTTGTCAGAAGTCGAAAGTTGAACATCAGAAGCCTGCAGGATTGATGCAACCGTTGGAAGTTCCAGAATGGAAATGGGATAGCATTTCAATGGACTTTGTGACAGGATTTCCTAATACTTTAAGAGGACATGATTCGATTTGGGTGATTTTTGATAGGCTTACGAATTCAGCTCATTTTATTCCTATTAACATCAGTTTTCCAGTGTCGAAGTTGGCTGAGATTTACATTAGTGTGATTGTGAAGCTGCATGGTGTTCCTTTGTGCATTGTGTCAGATAGAGATCCAAGATTTACTTCTGATTTTTGGAAGAGTTTGCAAGAAGCGTTGGTTTATAAGTTGAGGTTGAGTTCAGCGTATCATCCTCAGACAGATGGTCAAACTGAACGGACGATTCAATTATTGGAAGACTTGTTGAGGGCATGTGTTCTTGAGCATGGAGGTTTGTGGGATACTTATCTTCCGTTGATAGAGTTCACGTATAATAACAGTTACCATTCTTGTATTAGGATGGCACCTTTTGAAGAATTGTATGGTCGAAGATGTAGAACTCCGTTATGTTGGCATGAATCTGGTGAGAGTGTAGTACTTGGACCTGAACTTGTTCGTGAGACTACCGAGAAGGTGAAGTTGATTCGAGAAAATATGAAAGCTTCACAAAGTTAACAGAAGAGTTATCATGATAAGCGAAGGAAAGATTTAGAATTCCAAGCTGGTGATCATGTGTTTTTGAGAGTTACACCTATGACTGGTGTTGGGCGAGCATTGAAGTCTAAGAAGCTCACTTCTTGTTTTATTGGACCGTATCAGATTTCAGAGAGAGTAGGGAATGTTGCTTATAGAGTGGCTTTACCGCCTAATCTTTCGAATTTGCATGATGTGTCTCATGTGTCGCAACTTCGGAAGTATATTTCAGATCTATCTCATGTGATTCATATGGACGATGTGCAAGTACGTGATAATCTTACGGTGGAGACGATGCCTGTACGGATCGCGGATCGTGAAATGAAGACTCTGAGGGGAAAAGAGATTTCCTTGGTTAAAGTGGTTTGGCTAGGAGCTGTTGGTGAAAGCATGACTTGGGAGTTGGAGAGCAAGATGAGAGACCCTTATCCTGAATTGTTTGATTGAGGTAAATTTTCGAGGACGAAAATATTCTAGTGGGGGAGAGTTGTAACGCCCGTAATTTAATTAATTATTTAATTAAATTATTTTTTTGGAATATTTGTGAAGTTGTATTATAATTAAATGGATTTAATTATTTTATTAACTGGAGAAATAATATTAGAGATATAATATTATGTGGTGAAATAATATTAGAAGTATAATATTATTTGATGTGGGCTTGTTTTTGAAAGAATAAAAGTAATAAGGGGGTGTATTGGTTTTAAGCCCAATATGGAATAATAGAATAATAGGGTTATTTTATTGTTGTTGGAATATAATAGAAAGAAAGAAGCAGTAGAAGAATAAGGGTTGAGAAAAAACGTGCAAGCTGCTAGAGAAAGTGGAAAACGGCAAGAACGAGAATTCAACCAGAAATTGTAGAGCGACCTTCAATCCAAGGTAAGGGTGGGGTTCTAACTCTATAATTGGGTTTATGATGATTGGTATGTGGGGTTAGAGATGATTGTTGTCTTGTTCTTGAATTGAAAATACATGATTGTTTTATGATGAGAATTGATGAAGTTTAGATGAATATTAATGTCATGATGTTGTTTAATTGATGTAGAATTATAAGGTAAATTATGAGTGATGATTATTCATGATTAGATTAAATTTTAGGGCTTTAGGTATGAATCCCGTAGCGAGATGCAGTGATGAAAAACGCAGAAAGTAGCAGTTCTGATGTTACAAGTATGTTGTTAGAGGTTGCGTCATATTAGAAAAAAGTAGCAGTTATGTTGTTAGAATTATGTTGTTAGAAGTTGTGTTGGATTATTAGAAAGTAGAAGTTGTGTTATTAGAAGTTTTGCTGTTAGAAGTTGTGCTGTTAGAAGTTGTGCTGTTAGAAGTTATGCTGTCAGAAGTTATGCTGTCAGAAGTTGTGCTGTTAGAAGATGTGCTGTTAGAAGTTGTGCTGTCAGAAGTTGTGCTGTCAGAAGTTGTGCTGTCAGAAGTTATGCTGTCAGAAGTTGTGTTGTCAGAAGTTGTGTTGTCAGAAGTTGTGCTGTCAGAAGTTGTGCGGTCAAAAGTTGTGATGTCAGAAGTTGTGCTGTCAGAAGTTGTGCAGTCAGAAGTTGTGCTGTCAAAAGTTGTGTTGTCAGAAGTTGTGCTGTCAGAAGTTGTGCAGTCAGAAGTTGTGTTGTCAAAAGTTGTGCTGTCAGAAGTTGTGTTGGTTAGAATTTGTGTTATTAGAAGTTGTGTTGTTAGAAGTTGTGCTGTTAGAAGCTGTGTTATTAGAAGTTGTGTTGGTTAGAGGTTGTGATGTTAGAGGTTATGCTGGTCAGAAGTTGTGTTGGCCTTTACGCTGTTTTGTGCAGAATGTGGAAGTTAGATGCTTAGAAGCTGCTGTTTGAACTATAACAGTAGGATGGTGTCGGTATTGACGTTAGAGTTACAGAATGACAGTGTTGATTTACTATAGAAATTAAAATACTACTGAGTCGTTAATGAGAAGTTATTAATAATATTGTGTTGATGATTTATAATAAATAAACGATGTTTGATAAATTATTTGATGATCTGAGATGTTGATTATTTTGAGATGTTATTTTGAGATGTTAATTTGAGATGTCTTTGAGATGTTATTTTGAGATGTTATTTTGAGATGTTAATTTGAGATGTTTTGAGATGATTTGAGATGTTGTTAAATTGGGTGTTGATATTACATTCATGGTTGTGTCGCATACATTGCATTTTTGAGATGGAGCTTATGGTCGTTGAGATGGCCTGTATTGGCGAATTTTGAGATGAAGGCTATGCCTTGTTGATGTCTCTATTAATTGGCAAATTTTTGAGATGGGAGTTCTGCTCCAATGGTACCACATGCATTTGCATAGTATTGAGTCGCATTATATGATTGCATAAAGAAGTGTATTTTGATGTTGATGAATGTGTATATACGTTGTAATTATTGTTGATTATGAGATGACAAGTGGTGATGTTATTGATCTAATTTAATATATGA